TACTTTGTACCCACTTTGAGGCAGTGCTTTAAGTGTGGCAGATACGGTTACGTATCTAAATTCTGCAAAGCTAAAGAGAGCAGGTGCCTTAACTGTGGAAAGTCTCCGAAGTGTGTAAATTGTGAGGCGATGAAGTGCTTGTCCTGTGGCTCAGGTGAGCACAACGCTCTCAATAAGTGTTGCCCTAATAGGGAAATTGAATTAAACATCAACAGGATAATGGCGATTAAAAATCTTTCGTATAAAGAGGTCAAAGAGAATTTTTCCGAAAATTATTTCGAATGTCTCGATGACAACACTTATGACGGCAATTTCCCTCCACTGGGGAACACCTCTGCAATTTCGACCAAGGATGATAATCAAAATGCCAACAAAATCTTAACCAAAAATAAATACAATGCTGCCTCCAAATCTCTTATCAATTCACCCACCAAGCCTTCTCCCAATACACCCCCCAAGTCGTCTGGACCGAAAATTTCAAACAATTATTTGCGGTCTTCAGAACTTGAAAGATTAATTCTCGCGATTCAAGAAAGTATCCATCCGATGATCCCTCACAATCTTATTAAAGAATTTGAAGCAAAAATGTCTGTCTGTGCTATTTCTTGCCCCGTTCGAGCATCCAGTACTGCGAGGAAATCCGCTGGGGTTCTTTCTCAAGTTTCAACATGATATCCGTTTTACAATATAATATTCAAAGTGTCCGACGTAACCTATCTTTTCTAGATTTTTACTTAAACTCAAACAAGATTGATTTTTGTATCTTAAGTGAAGTTTTTCTGAAAGATGAAAATTGTTTCGAAGTTAAAGTTTCGAATTATGCCTCAGCCACCAAATGCCGAAATGATGGCTATGGTGGTGTTAGTATATTAGTTAAGAAAGGTGTCAATTTCAGACGTATTCCCTATAACTCTGCCGTTGACATCATCATCACCAAAACCATCAACCTCAAACCGAATCTTTTCATAGCCTCATGCTGCTTTCCACCCAGTCTCGATGTGCAAACCTTTCGTGATGAGATCCAGAGATTATGCGACTTTCTTGACGGTGAACAAAATGTGATTCTAGCTGGAGATTTCAATGCAAGACACCGCCTGTATGGCGATCAAGTCTCTACCAACAAAGGCAAAATCCTTGTAAATGCCATCAATTCCAGCAGTTTCAGTGTCTTAAATAACGGCAATAATACCTTTCACTGTAACCGGAGCGGTCGCACGGCGAGCAGTGTCTTGGATCTAACTTTCTCGAACTCAACTATTTTATCTTTCAACTGGAACACGTCCAATGTTTCCATTGGCAAAAGTCAGCACTCCCCCATTATATTCCACAGTTGTAACAATTCCGTCAAGAAAATAGAAAATTTCATTTCACGCAACTTCCTTATGGACCGTCTGTCTAAAGTTGATCTTCCTTCTGATTTATCATCAATTCAAAGTGCCTTTCAGTCTGTGATCATGTCTGCTAGAACCAACTTCCCTGACATTGAGTCCTTCTCACCTAAACCTTGGTGGAATCCTTCCCTGTCAACACTTTTCCGCAAATACCAAGCTGCAAGAAAAAAAATGAGTAAATATGCTAATCCAGCCAAGTACATTGAATATATGAAAATACTGAAAGAATGGAGGTCTGCAGAAAGGCGAAAAGGGCACATAGAGCCATCGCTATTAAAGAGTTATGTGGTAACGGCAACCCACGTTCCTTCTGGAATTATATCAATGGTCATCGACATTCCAATCGAAAATTAAGCGGTTGTGCTGTATGGAATGACCGTGATAATAAAAAATACTTAGATATGCTCAAGAGCTACATTCAATCCTATTACAATGCCTTCAATTCCTTTTAGTAGTATCAGTAACACATCCTTGCCATTGCATGAGCTAATGTATGTTTTACATTCCAGAAAGAGAGCTACTGCTGCAGGTTGTGATGGAGTCAAGTATGACATGCTCAGAACACTGTCCGGAGGAAGCTTTAGCATGCTTTTGCATGCAATTAACAACTGCTGGTCCACCAACTTTATACCCTCTGATTTGCGTTGCATCAAAATAGTTCCCATTCCCAAGCCAGGTAAAGACTTAAATGATTTAAGTAGCTTCAGACCAATTTCACTAATATCTGTATTCATAAAGACCATCAACCTCGTGGTTAAGGAGAGACTAACTGCTTTCCTGAAAACTAAGAACATTATTCCAGCTCGGTCTTACGTCTATCAAAAACGCAAATCTACGAATATGTGCGTTAATGAACTGTGTTTTCTCATAGCCAGCTTAAAAAAAGCAGGGAAAATGGTTGTCATGCTCTCCCTGGACATCAGCAAAGCCTATGACTGTGTCAACTTGATTAAGCTCGGTAGAATTCTCCTGAACTTTTCTATTCCTCTTCAAATGCGGCTGTGGATACTTAATTTTTTATCCAAGCGTGTGTTGGTGATGGGTACCGAAAAAGTTGAAATATGCGGTGGTATCCCACAGGTCAGTTGTTTAAGCCCCATACTGTTCAATTTATACGCAGCTTCTTTGCATGATCTTCAAGATGACAAAACTCACATTTTTCAATATGCAGACGATTTTCTGATCGTATCTGCGGAATCATCTTTTCCAGCAGCTGTCAATAACCTCTCGTTGAAAGCTAACTTGTTTTTCGATGCATGCGCTGATCTTAATTTATATTTTAACCCCAGCAAGACAAACACTATTTATTTTGCCAAAGGTTCTAAACGTGAAATCAGACTTCTTATCAAAGTTACCCAAGTTAATCAGGTAAAATCTCTTCGATTTCTTGGGAGAATTTTAAATGACAGCTTAACCCTTCGTGGGCATTATGAAAACGCGTTCAAAGATTGTCAGTCTGGATGCAACATCATCAAACTCATGACAAACAATCAGGCAGGCTTGCCTCCCAAAAATGCTTTGACCGTTTACAAATCTCTAGTCAGGTCCAAAATTGAATTTGGACATTCCATATGTTGCAATTTCCCAAAATATATTGAAAAACGTATACAAGCATTTGAAAACCGAATGTTGAAGCGTTGTACTGGACTGACCCCCTCAACTCCTCAACATATTCTCAATGTTATATCTGGTGAATGGCCAGTTTCCGAAAGAGCCCTTTTTAGCACTGCCAAGGAGTTAATTAAAGTCAAGATGATAAATCCTTCCTTTTTTCAGGAAATTATATCTCTCAGTGATACTGTCACTTGCAGTTATACTTTTTGCTATCAAAAACTTCGTCATATTTTTGATAAGTTAGATTCAATTCCCCCATTGAATTTCATTACCAGCAAATGCATGAACATTCTCGAACCGATCTCTACCTCAAAACAAAATGTCAACTTCTCTTGTATAAGGTTGTTATGCCAAGAAAAGCTCCTTTTTTATTACAACAACGGATATGATATATATGCCACTGACGGTTCCGTCGGACATAATGTATCTGGCTTCTCGGTCGTGAAACATCTATCTGAAACAATACTTCGAGTCAAAGTGGAAGAGGAACTTTCCTCTACTTTTATTGAGTTGCTCGCCATTCGACATGCTATCATGGTTGCTATTTCCGATGGTATCAGACGTTTTGTTATTTTTTCCGACAGCAGGTCAGCTCTACTTCTAATAAATAAAAGAGATGCAGAAAATCAATATGTGTTTGACATTCACAAGACGTTGCACGAATCTCAAGTGGATGACTGTCACCTCGTTTGGGTATCTGGCCATTGCGGCTTTTTTTTAAATGTAAAAGCCGACTTTCATGCAGGGAGAGCTCGTGTTGATGGGACAATTTTGTCCATCAAATATACTCCCAATGAAGCAATTCGGGCAATTCGCAACCACATCCTTCAACAGCTAAACGACGAATTTAAAGTAATCGCGCGCGTTAAATCCAATCGTCTTTTCTATAAATTAAATCCCACATTTCAATTCAAACCTTCTCTGTATCTTCTTTTAATTCCTGGTGAATCAAAATTCTTTATAGACTCATGATTGGTCACACTTTTGACAAAGTTTATTTAAAAATGATTCACGCTATACCATGTGATGTTTGTGAAGTTTGCAACGTTGTTGAGTCTGCTGAGCATCTAATCTTCAGATGTCACAGGTTTGATGGCATTAGAGATTCCTTTAGCTTCTTCAAGTTATATGGCTGTCTCCTCGATCTCTTTGCAGCAAAAAATGTACGTCATCTCGGGAAACTAACTTGCTTTATTAGAAAAGCCAATTTATCCTTTTAGAATTTTTCTTTTCCTCCTCTTTCCTTTTTTTTTTTTTCTTTTTTGCGTTCAATCATTTTCAATTACCATAACATTCCTTTTCGTTTTCAGCCAAAGTTTGCAACACTGTCAGACTTTCAAGAACTCAACAAGCACACTTACACACACACACACAATTACATTTAACATGCTCACTCCAGTTATACGGCCGCTCTTTTTTTTTTTTGTTACGTTTTATACATAATCGTGACTAAAAATTACAACAATTTATTATTTGGACATATAAGAATAGACGCAAAAACTTGCTAAAACATGAGCATTTTATTTTTTCAAGAATATTACATTGTAAAAAAAACCTTATGCAAACTTAGCCCTTTGATTGTAAGGAAGTCCTTTATACCGTCCGCATGCGGTTTTCCCTTAATTCGAACTTATTCATTGTTTTTTACTGAATGAAACTAAAAAATTTATTTATATTTTTTGCATAGTTAGATTCAATTTTTAAATGTGCTTACCTGCTTTAGTTTACACTTACGTTAATTACTTCTTTGCCTATTTGATTTCTTACTTTTTCTTCTTCTTCGCATTAATTTGTACGTATTTTGTTATCTACACAGCTGATGATAGCAAAAATGTAAATATATAAGCCTCGATTGCGACAGTTTCCCACATTCGAGTGAACTCTCAAAACGATATTATTCAGAATGATTGCCAAATCAAATACGTAATCAATATAGAGAATCCTAAACAGATTGGCCCAAGAATGTTTAACCCCTATGCTGTCCTTTTAAAATATGACACTATATTGTTTTGTGTTTTGCTTTTTCTTCACAAATAAAAGTTTTTACATTTATTGTTAATTGGTTCCTAAAGTGTTTACTTTATACCACGTGAATATAATGTAAGTGCGTCTATTTTGACTTTTGTATTTTTTAATACGAGTTTTTGCTAGCTTTTAATGTAAATACAGTATTTTTAACCTGCTTAGAGGAAAAAAAACATTTCGTCACCAAAAGACAAAACTGATAATTTTTAAGATCTACCGACAATGAATTTAAATGATTTTTAGCTTATGAAAAGACGCAAGCTTTTAAGCAAAATTCAAACACACTTCTACTAAATTCATTGCCAGTGTTTATAAGTTTAATTTCAAATTTTTTTGGACGTAAAAACTTTATATGTTTTTACCGTTGTTGTTGATAAATAGGAATGTTTTGTGTAAGATTTTGAGTGTAAGATTGATTCTGGTCAGGGCCTAACGACATATTGGCTAGAGGTTGACGTAGATGATCGAATCGATCTGAAGGAAGAACAACAAGTGAGCTCGGCATTGTTGCCGGCAATTGTGTAACATAGGATTGAAGATCGCTGTTTGTTGCTACGGGATTGTAGGGTAACTGCGATTGGGCGGTGTTGGTCGACTGCATATGGGCATTATTAACAGATGAAATGGTAGTCATATAGGAGTTATGGTGTTGTGGAGGCAAACACTGTTGTTGAGAAGTTATTTGCGTTATACTATTCATTGGCATTTGGGAGCTCAATGCTGTTGATAAACCATTGCTTGCAATAGGTTGTTGAGTAACAAATGGCTGCTGCGGCTGTTGTTGCTGTTGATGTTGTGATGTGATCGTCCGATAGTTGACGAATTGAGATGTTCCTTGTTGCGATTGTTGGTTTGAATTAAAATCACTATTAGCAGTTGAATTTGTAAGCACATGTGGTGTACTCTGTGACGCTGGTGGAGATTGGATATTATCTGCGTACATAGATGAAGGTGTTTGTTGCTCCGATAGTTGCATCACTTGCCGAGGAGGCACGCTTGTCATTGGTGATGTTTGGTGCTGACGTTGTTGATGAGCATTTATATGACCATTTTGATACTGCACTGGCATAGCATTCGCTTGAGTACGGTAATCAGCAATTGGTACTGAAGTCGCCATGGCAATATTATATGGGATGGTGTTGAAGCCACCATAACCGTGTGGGCGAAAATTAGCAGAAGGTCCAAATAAACCCATGTGAACTTGTGAATGCATTTGACCTTGAACTGTTGCTGAGGTGGGTTGATAGTTGTTTAAATTATGTAAGCCAGGTGTTGCTGCCTCCATAAAAGAAGTATTTAAGGCAGTTGCACGATCATCTCTCATCAACGAGTGATACATATTAATAGCAGCAACCAAGTCGCTTGACAACTGAGACAATTGAGCGTGTTTACGATCCACACGTTCAAGTTCTGCATCGATTAGAGGGCCCATCTGATGAACCTCTTGTTCGAAACGGTGCATATCTTCAGAATCCTGCGATGGATCTTCTGGGTTCGCTTCATGCAACAAATGAAGCAAACGATCTATTTTATGTTCATCTATTTCGATCTGCCGGGTGAAAACGGCAGGTTCAGCTTTGCGCTGGGGCTCACTTCCTATCATTTTAGCATCAGAATGCTCCTTTCCAACTGGGAGATCAGATGTCACGAAATTGGCGGGAAACAACCCTTCCCCCCTTTGATTAAAACCTCTCCACCAATTCGGATCGGAATCATCAGTAACGTGTATAATTTCTCCCTTAAAAAACGTTAGCTCATTTTCTTCAGCTGCCTCGAAATCGTATAAGGCGCTCACCTTTCGCGGATCAGGTTGACAAGCTGTAGAAACAGCAGCAGTCGAAGAAGCCAAACCGCCCGCGTTACCAAACGGGTACAGGGAAGGCTGAAAACAAAGTTAAATGTTAAAATTCATTTCATAGTTCTTTGTTATATGTCGATGTACATAAGCCCCCGGAACACTGCTGGCGAGTGTATTAGTACTGTCTGCAGACTGCTTTTTAGGACTATTTTTCACCTCTTTTAACGACAATTCTATGGCTTTGGCTAAGTCATCTTCCTCCTGCTGACTGCTAGCCAATTTTGTATCTTTGGAAACCAATGCACCCAACATTCCCGTTTCCAGTTTTGAGGACTTATCGTTTAAGTCGGTAAATTCATAACCCTCTTGGCGCAATTTCCCATACAATGTTGGTATCAAATTTAATTCAGGATCACTTTTAAAATCGCCCTCTGCCCAAGATTTCAAAACCTGTCGCATTTTCTGTCAAAAAGATAAAATAAAAATTATTTATTATAAACTTAAAAAATTATTAATTTTCACCTACCGAAGATACTTTAGGCTCTGCTTTAGCCAGCAAACGTTTATATTCATTTTCAAATTCTCTTGAGGCAATTTCTAAATGAAACGGTTTACCACAGTTGTTGACGCAAGCGTTTAGCAAAGTTATGGCGTGCATAACGACATGTGGATCCGCATGATTCATACGTTTCATGATAGCTTTCAGACACTCTTTGGCATTTCGAGAACTCAATGAAACTTTATCGCACACTTCTAAAATTAATGCCCAATTTTCATCCGTGTTCTTATCACTGGTAACTTTTTCTGATCAAGTATTCAAAAGTACGATAACATCCGCATAAAAATTATTAAAATCGCAATGAAATATTTGTATATTGGAAAAGTATGGAAAATTGGTCTTTTCGCCTTACGCCAAATTTTTCCTAGCAGCACCATATATTTAGAAGTGGTTTCGTTTGTATGTAACACATAATTTCATCTTGGAACTATGCTTAAGCCAAAAACGTCTCCCAAAAAGAAAATGAAGGAAATGACGGCGAACTTTACGCAATTTCCTATGTTCACGAAATGTTATTTTTTACTTTTACAGGACTCTACAGGATGTATTTCTTACACAAATCCGCATACCATATTACTCAATAGTATAGCATTCACCACATTAAAAACGTAAAATTATAGTTTTTCGTAAATAAGAAATTTCTAGGTGTTAGAAGAAAGAGCACTATCTATCCATCTGTGTGGCGGGTATAAAAATTGTAAGCCATTTTATTAACTATGGACAGCCAGAGGATTTCAATGAAAGAATGAATTTGTAAGTAATTTGATGAAAATGCTAAGATTTACAATCGTAATCCGAAGAACATAACAAAACTTTTGTGATATGCACGTTCCTTGTCAAAATTCACATAAAGAAAAAGCTGTAACAAGAAAACACCTAAGTCGGGATGACCTTTGGAAACCATTTTAGTTTAAAATCAAAATTAAATTGCATTGTAATGCAGAGCATACTTCAGAAGGCATGATGCCTTATTAGCGCTTTGGCGCCGATATATTGAAGTGAACTTCCTTTCTTTAGAGCACTCAAAGCTACAGAGCAACAGGCGCTACAGAATGAACCCGTTGATTTGCTTATGAATTTGCAAGGTAACACAATTGTTATTATTGCCACGTTTGTTGCGACTCGAAAAACTATTCGGGTTTCTATTTTGCTTTTGAATAACTGGTGTATATACAATGTGTGGTGACATAGATAGAAAGGTGACTAAACAAAATTAACCAAGAGAGAAATTTGCACAATGAAAAAAACATAATACCTTCCGTTAAATGAGAATAAGCGGTGGAAAAAATCGTAGCAGCTGGATATGTTTTATTTGGTTCTGCTACAGCTGGTAGCCATTGCGCAGTGCGAGTATGTGAAAAGCCGTACCTTAAATTTTTCATTTATAACATTTGCACATAACAGGTGATAAAAAAACAACCAATAAATAAACGTGAATCATCACATCGCATTTAATTGTTCGGCAGGGTTGTATTCACAGCAGTCCATAAAAATAACTTTTTATTATATTCATCTGCGGCTGATAAATTTGTAAATCTAGCAACTCCTTTAAAAAATATGTATTTTATCAATGCGAAATTCTGAGTCGATTTAATAACGTTCGTTGACAGTCTTCCTTTCAATCTCACATAGATTCTCCAGCCAAATCTAAAAATACAAAATCTATAGATGCAGAGAAAATTTATGAAGCTGAAGACCCAATCGTTCGTTCGCTGAAGTGAATTCTGTAACATTCATTTTTATTGCGATCCAAAATAATATGAACGCTACGATATTCAAATTTTAAAGCCAATTATTTTGTATTTAATTTTATATAACACTGGTGATTTTTAATTATTGTACTTGCGACGTATTGATTAATTGTTTTTTTAGGATTTTCCATATTATTTTATTTTCTCCATGCATGTGTAAAGCCCCTTTAAATTTTCGTTCACTAGAAACAGAGCAGATTCTTTCATTGTCATTCAAATTGAAAAATTGGATGTGTTGCCGTGAATGCTATAGCGTTTGTTCCATATACCGATTAAAACGTGATCTTCTAACTACCCTTAGAAAACGTATTCAATTAGATTTTGAATATCAAAACTAATTTTAAATAACTTGAATGTAATTTTTTGCAGCTCGCTGAAATTTTCACTGTCCACGAATATGTTAAAGTAAAATGTGCATATTTAACACTTCATTAATTACAAAGAAAAGCCGAAGGCTGCGGGCGTAAATTTATTTCTGGGGAAGAAAAATTGCTGCCGTTCGAAACCTCTAGAAATAAACATCGCCTTTGTTCTTTCAAATATGATAACAAAAGTACAAGATTGATTTGATAATGTACGACTAAACCAAGCCTGCGAAAAATATCAATACTTCTACAATGATTTCGCAAAAAACAAACAAAAATACTCTCGCAAAGAAACCTTTTGATATTTTATAAGACGTACACAAGGGCAGCAACATACACGTATCGCTAAAAATGTATTTATCACATTTTCTTTTTTATGCGACATTACTTTTCCTGTTAAATACAACAAACAAATTTATAAAATGACATTATACAAAAATTATCTTACCCACATCAGAATCGAAAGGAGAAGACTGACCAAAGATTCCCATTTTTATTAAAATGAACCTTTAGTTCCTAAGGTTGGAGTTATTCCTTTCCACTTAACTTAATAAAATTCGTTTTGGAATCGATAACTACGTCTTCGCGTAATTAGATTGCAATAGCCCTTTGTCAATCCAACTTTTTTAAAACTTTTTACCAATTTGCTTTGCTTTATTATGGACACTTTTGCAGAATACACTTCCTTTCACTGCCAGTTTTACCCCTTTCTAAATCTTGTAAAATATATGAAAATGACTAAAATATTTGAGTGCAGAGAGCCAAATGCACTGAAATATAATGGTTGCCAGAAAACCAAATCAATAGTTTACAGGGTTTTATTTTCGCCTTATTTCAAATACGTTTCGTGGACATCTAAAAATATGAAGACCAATTTCATAGGGCTTAAACTTAAGTTAACGAAATACACAGATGTTGGAACATTTTGCTCAAAATGGAGATAGAGCACTTTTTGTGCGTGGTTGATTAGTTGATCTTTCATTCTTATTATGGGCACAGGTTCTGTTAATAGTTTTTTGATATTATGCCGCATCTCTTCAAACGTTTGCAAGGGAAAAACATACAATTCTATGTTTTTAAAAGAATGTGTACTATCGTATATACAAAAATGTAGACAATAGACTGAACTACATATAAAACGAACAAACTTTGTTTTTTTATATTCACATCAAGATATATAACGACATTTTTATTTTACTTATTTTATTTCTATTGCAATATATATATATTTATATATATATATATATATAACACTTATTAATACCCTACTACTAACACTACTTGTTCTGAATACATTTTAGTGACATAATTTTTACCATCATAAGGTCATGTACATTTTTACTAGGTTAAGCATTTTTGTAATATTCATTATTTTAAGCACTTTCAAATGGCGTAATTTGAATTATCTGTAAAGTAAGAATTACTTGTATTTATACTTTAGTACATCGCGAAACTAAATTTGCGCAATGCGCGAATGTTCTTTTTTAAATATTAAATGATTAAATTTCGAAAACCATTTTTTTTCCTTCTGTCAATAGCACGGCGACCTTGATCATCTTACGCCACTAAAATGAAGCCAATGATATTTAACTGATAATAATATATTTGTTACTTTTATTTTCTTACACATGCATATTTGATATATTTTATCCAATTTTTTATATCACACACCAGTTTTTATAGCATTTATGTTCCAGAGTTAAATAATTATATGAATGAATAAAAAATTAAAAACTAGTCCCTAATCGTAGCTTACGCAATTTGAATTGATTTTAATTCTTGCAGAGAAAGACTTATTGTAAAGCCTACTAAGTGGCGTCTATGCTTGCTGCAGTCACCGTCTGAAAAGAAATAAAAAAATAAATAAAAACAGATTTCATCTAAAAAAACAACAAGATTTACTAAAAGGAAGGGAATTATAGCGACGGACGCAAAGTTTGTAAGATTTGGAAGAATTTTGTAACACGCGATGTCTGTTAATCTTTCATGTCTGTCCAGCTATTCGAAAGAACGAAAACGGACTTTAATATATTTATGCTCTCTGCTCAGTCCCGCTTTGCGATCGGCTGACTGACGCATGGGATTCAGTTGAGCTAGCTAGTTTGAGAGATAGGGGGGCGTTTCTGTAATTTGTTTACCCAAACGTTTGCTCTTAAAAGAACACCACGCACCTAACCTTTACACGCATAGACGCACGAACGATCCATCGTCTCACTGTCTCACTTAATGGTTTCCTCCGGAGACCCTGATGTTGGGTCCGAGGACCCCTGTGTTAAATTCCTCATATATGAGAGAAACTATTTCTTTTTATTTCATTTTCTCTTCTTTTATCAATGGAAAATTTAATATATTAATATATATAGTGCCTCTAGATTAATTTATTTATTTCTAATTATGCATATGCCTTTTATAATTCGTTTTTTTAGCAGATTATGTAGTGTGTGTTTGTATTAATACGATCTTGTTATTAATTTCATTTATTATCACATAATTGTTATTTATTTCATTTACTATCACATTATTGAAGTCCTTTTAAAATTTTTCTTCTTATTTATTTTCAAAAATTATTAAGCGTGTTTGCATCGTATAGTCAATCAAAAATTATTTTACATTAAGAGATTTTCACTGAAGCATATTAAAATTTTTGGCTTCGTTTTTCTCCTCTCTCGTACATCGTTTTCCTCACACCAAGTCATATAATCTCGCTCATAGTTGCTTTCGGTTTAGTTAAATTCTTCATGTCAGTTGCTATCGTTTTCTAGAACAAAATTGCACGCAAATTTTCATACGCACATATGCCTTACATTTCTTTTTTTTTTAGAAGTTGTAAAAAATATTTAGGAAAAGAAATGTTCATGAAATTTCCTGAATAAAAATTCGTAAAACATGTCCAGCTTTTTCGTCGTTCTTCTTCCTTCTCTCTTATTTCTTTGCTTTTATGAAAAATAAGAGGGAAACTGTCACGAAAGCCCCGCCAAGGTTGCATTCTTAACAAAAATTGTTATATATAACTACATGTTACAAAATAGGGAATTCACTGATGTTAAAGTGATCATGCGGCCAAGTCTTTCGAATGAAATATGCGGATTGAATTGATTAGCCAGCTACTACTATTGTAGTGATCTACCAAGTGACTCCTTGTAAATACTGTTTGTCTCACGCGATACTTTACGGGATGTGAAAGCAAATTGTAGGTGGCAGAATATCGAGAATAGGCTTTTCTAATATTTTCTCGCGCCTTTTTTTTTTAATTAACACCAACTTCTCATCAGTCCTTAAAGAAGAAGAAGGATCTTGTAAAAGATCGAGACTTCGTATATAAATCACAATCGAATTCACTTGACTCTTAGAAGTAAATTTTATCCTAATTGATATTAAAAATTAGTATAAAGTATATAAGTACGAAGTAAAGCGAAAAAAGAACATTAATGATAATAATTAAATAATAATTCATGTACAAATATATAAGAAAAAAAAGAGAAAAATACAGCATATACAGAACTAGCACAGAAGCATACCCACAATCAGTAGATATCCAAGTTACAAGCGAACCCATAAGCCATTGCAAACACGCAAGAGCTTGGAAACGGATACAGTAAACAACACCAGTTAATTTTCGAATCATAATGAGATGTTAAGACTGCAAGTTAGTTTAAATACGACATAGGCCAATCGCGTGTATTAAGCAAAGCTTTTAGAGAATCTTAGAAGACTTTATAGAAAGGATATTGAGATTGAGTGATAGATATCATTTAAATGTCTGCAAACAACTCTGAACCGGTTAAACAGCACATAATTATATTGACATTGATTCAGCTTAGTGATAATAAAGTGCCTCGAGAAGCGACTAGGAACATCAAAGTTTGCTTCACCAAGCGATGTAGATGAATAGTTAGTAACGTTAGTTAAGTTAATTAAGAAGTAAACACCAAATATAAATTTACGTTTCTCAAGTGACAGCAAAGATAACAAAAGCGATATATTTTCATAAGGAGGCAATAAGAGACGAACGTGCTCAACCCAAATTTTACGTAACACCTGTAAGAGCGAGCCCACACAACGCAGGC